CAACTGCCTCCAAATATTTACGTTTTACAACAGCCACCTCTTGGAAGCAGATATTTTCCCCCTATCCAATAGCAGTTATTTTCTTTAGTCATAAATACTGAACATCGGTTAATGGAGGGCAACAAAACAAGTGTTGAATATCGACCTTTTCATTCTGCTCTCAGAAAATTATCAAACTGCCATAAGTCAAGCCAGAGAATATTATTTCAATTTTGAGCTTTTCACTCTTTAACGTTTATGGCTTCATCATACTATCTCCCAGGGGCGGATCTAGGGGGAGGGTGCAGCTGGTGCGCAACTCCCCCCCCCTCCCTGAGATGATCTGCGGTTTTCTAATACACCTGGTATTCTGCCAAAAAAAAAAACTATGCGGTTTATTGGTGTTGAAGTAGAGCAAGAGACGAGTGCACCCCTCTTAAAAAAAATCCTGGATCCGCCCCTGTCTCCTGCCCATAACCACACAATAGTTTCAAATATGTACACATTTTCAATACTGGGTGTATTAGGTATAGAAGTTCCTGCAGTTATATCTCATCAATGCAATATTATTGTAGTTAACACAACCATTGTTATGCTCCAGACAAAAACTTAAGTGAATACGACATGTCCCAACCTTGAAAATCATATACTGGGGAGCAGAAACGTTTTAAGCAAGCAGTTAGTTCACATGGGTATGGGGGTGTATCTCATCCCAACTTTAAATTCTCTTCATAACAACATCAGGATACACAGAAGCTAGAAAAATAACTTCTGAACCAAATTCATTGACAGAGCAAGACACAGTAAAAGTAAGTGAAGGACTTGTAGGAAAACAACTGTACAGCGCCTTTCAATTATTATGTATAACAATCTGTATAACAACAAAAGAGACAAATTTTAAAGTGCAAGCACTCCACGAGTCAAGCATGAGAGGCTGTCAAGGGGCAAAGATATGGAAATTTATTTGCCTTGCAGTCAACGAATTACGAGAGCGTAGTTATTGCTTCCGATATAAATCACTGCTTTTTGTAAAACCAGGATTAAAGCAGAAATTTAAAAAAAAAAAACTACACTGAGACAACTTTCACAGATTATCATTTCCAGTAGTCGTTAGAACGGGAAGGTACGCTTTCGACTACTTGTACATATGAAAACAATGATCTAAAATTATAAACACTCAGTACACAAAAAAATTCGTGAAATTAATCAGGAAAAGGAAAATGTTAAACTTCGTAAGTATCGTAACTACTTTAGTTCGCTAAACGCCTAGCGTGACATGTGTTCTTAACAAGTTTTGGTAGATCCGTGAGTGGTAAGAAGTGATAGCTCTCCGCTGCGGGCGGGTGGTAGGGTCGATGTTTTCTGGCGACGCACGAACCACATCAGCTTCGGACGATCTTCCAGGCAGCTCAAAACGCCGGGGTTGAATTCTCGTGAAGGGCTGCCCTATACTTCGCATTCTAAAAGTTCTTCTAGTTCCGAATAATCGGAGAAAGAGGTAGCGCTATCACTTAAAGAACTACAGTCAGCCATATTCGAGATCATCTGTGGTTCCACACCTGTGAAGTCACGTGATAGGCAAAATCGAAGCGTTAATGGCGGAAGTTCGAGTAAGCGGCAAATTTGACACTTTGAATCTCGATTTCTGAGCCAAATAGATCGCTGAAGATATATTTCTTGATGGTATTACAATAAGAAAAACATTTGCAAGGTTTTTCTGAAAAATGTTGTCCTACGCGAGAGTTGCCCTTTAAATTAACGGCCTGTGAAAGCGTTGTTATGTTTTCTTTAAAGTCTATGGGATGTCACTGTTCCTTCTTTGTATGCTCGGCGGTCTTCAGCTTCAATTTTCAAGAAGATGTTTTGCGCTGCCTTTTGCCTGGTTTTTCCAATGCCTGTGTAAATTAGAGTTCATTTGATGCAGATTGTTCGGGTTCACTTCTATTTATTTTATTTAGGGTGTTTTAACAAAATCTGAAAGAGCTATTCTCCCTCTCGAATTGAAATAGCTATTCTTTTAAGGCTTTCCATTTTGCAGATTCCTATCTTCGAGTGTGTAAAAATAATATTATGTTAATAAGGAGGTCATTAAGCCAGTGCTCGAAATGATTTTTGAACAGTGAAGGTCATGTTGACAGGCCAAACAAATTTTAACTCGGACCGGTCAAAATACATTAAAAACTCGAGTGTAAGAAACCGCGTTTCCCTTGCTTGAAGAGGTTCTTGCAAAAATATTTATTTGCAGAAAAAAATGGGTATTTTTCTAAAATATAACTGTATGGAATTTTCTTATATAGATTGAAGAAAATAGGAACTGGCTCAAATATATGTAGGATAAACAGGTCTTGTATAGAGGGGACCTAACTGGCAAATTTAGCTAGGTTCTTAGTCGCTAGTTTCTACTGTATTGAAAATGTTGTACTTTACAAAAATAGCCAAATTAAGACAAAAAAACTCGCCAATAAATGCTCAAAAACACCTTTTATTATCCCACTGTTATGTCATTTTACTATAGAAGGTCAAGAGAACGCGCAAAATATGAGGCCGTAATACACTGTAGGGTCCTGGTTTAACCAGTTTACAACAGGGCGAATATCAGTGGATGCAAAAGGAGCATTCGCACAGACAGAATGAGGATGTTTTGGATACTCTTACCAGAAAATAGAAGCCAAAATAACATTTTTTTGCAGTAGATAGAATAATTAACCTCTCATTCAATAGTTTAGCATATAACAGGGTGTCCAGTTCCTATTTTTTCCTATTTTTCCTATTTTTTAGCCTATCCTATTTTCTCCTATTTTTAAACTAAAACCTCCTATTTTTCCTATTTTTTAGCTGGTGAAGCCAAAATTGGAAACAAAATTGAAAATGGAATTATAGTTGTATGTGTTTTTGAGTGAAATTTATCATAAAGCATGTAGCAATTGTTGACTTTGATGTTCTAATGTTAGTAAAAATGACAGTTACGTTTGTTCTTTCCATGACCTCTATTGCCTATTAGAGTTCTGTTAACATTTTTTTGGTTACTTTTTGCATAATTTTCTCGTGCACCTGCATGCATTGTATGAAGTGTTATAGTCCTCATGACTATTGAATATTAGTAAAATCCAACTAGTGGTCTATTATCAGTGCTGCATTCTGATTGGTTGAGCTACTACTAGGCTATATGTTATAGCCCACTAGTAACGAAAAGTGCGGGCTTTTTGGCGGCAAAAAGGATCAAAGTCTAGCTTTAACAAGGTAAAATTTTTTTATTCTCGATATTTTTTTGTAAAGAGGACCATATATTGATTTGATGTTTGAAGCTATTGTACAAAGAGGAAGGATTTTCAGAGGAAATTGAGAGTTTCTAGCATGCCGACCCCAACAAACGGCTTGTTCGAGTCCTTCTACACCGAGACTCCTGAGTACTAAAAACAAATAAGTGGGCTACTTTGAGCCCAAAATGGTCTGAAAATTATTATGACAGCTATGAACAGGCATTGAAATAGAAAGGATACACCTGTCCATAACCAGGGATAAACAATTCAGTTCCTTGATTTTGAGATGCTAAAGCCAAACAGCTAAGTGTAGCCTGTTGCAAAATTAAATCACACAAAGGCAGGAAAGTACTTGTAAATTATTTCATGTATATTATTAAATTAATCATGTGACTTTTCTCACTCAATGTGGAATTTATTTGCACTCATCTGTTTTTGAAAAAGCGCAAATTGCATTCGCCCTTTAAAGGGCTCATTCAGTTTTGATACTTTTTGAAAAACACAAATTGTACTAAAAGGCGATCTTTACTACTTATACATTGCAAACACTTATGCCCCATTCACACCAACTAAACACGTATTAAAATGAAAAACAGACATAGAAAATTAGAACTCAGATTCTCACACAGGATTCAAAATAATGACCTTCAACTATTCTGGTAATTTGCAAGAAATTTAGTCAGTAAGCAGCTATTATAAAGCAAACAATTTCAACTGTGTTTTAATAAACAACTTTGTTTAAGCTTTGGTGTGAATGGGCGTTAAGTATTTTGTTGAATATAAATGAACAATAAAAGGTGAAACAAGTGATAACAACATCTGTAGTGAATAGTGAAAACAAATGTCTGTATAAGATCCTTGCAAATAAGGGAGCAGACATGTGGAGAAAAGTACAGCCACTTTAGGATAGCTCCATGCATGGTGAGAATAGGTTCATAATAGTTGTAGCACAGCATGAAGATCCTTTCTACAAGTACAATTTGTAGCAGTTTTCTTTGGAAAATGAGGTAATGTTGGTAAAGCGACTGATAGTCAGGATCTATACATTACATCGCAGGACTGGTGACTGATTTTATAATGATATGAAATCTCAGTCAGTAGTTATCACCACTTAGACAACGATTTTCAAGCCTTGTTCTTTTATCTAAGGTTTGGAAAGTGTAAATATTGTGTATTTCCTTTTTGAAATCAGGTTCTGAAATCAGTAACACAAGCACCATTAGGTAGGCAGGCTGTAGCCTGCCTCTATTAGCCCAAGAGTCGCAATTCTATTAATGCTTCTCCTGTAATTGAATACCAAAACAACTTCACTTATCCCTCAGACATGCTAAAAAGAGAGTCTACTAGTGCCAATTAGCTTATATTGTGTAGTTTGAAAATACAGATAATTCATTCACTAGGAGAAGAGATGGAAAGGGACACCCCTGTAGTAGGAATCCCCCAATTGAGGGATCAAGCAACTCGCAATGAACACAGCATCTTCTTGCAGAAGTAAATATCAGTAGTAGTAGCCACTTGGAAGATGCCCTCCTAATTGCAAGAGCAAGGGCAGTTGGAGTGGACTATGAGTTTACAAAGCCTGGTGAAGTGGAAACAGAGGATGACAGGAGAAAAAGACAGCGGCGAAACAAAAGACGAATATCAGAACAAGAGAAAAGGTTGCGTGAAGTTTTTGGAGAACTACCACTAGCTCCACCAGCAGGGTCAACTCAGCAAGAAGATAATGCATACAGTGCTATTCGTTTATTTGAGGTGGAGCAGATGACTTACGCATTTACTTTTTGTGAGGCCTGCAAAGAAAGGCAACTGGGGTGCAAGGGCACAAGAAACATGTGTACTCGCTGCAGAAGAGATAAGAAGGTGCCAAAAGTTTGGCCAGGTGAGAATAACATGGATCCAATGGCTGTTCCTGAGATTTTGTCTAACATGTCAGATGCTGACCAGATGCTGATAGCCAGGCTAGCACCTACTGTGCATGTACACCTGCTGAAGCATGGAGGTATTGCCTCAAAGGGACATTGCATTGCTTTCCCACAGGCTGTGCAAGATCGAAATCGCAGTTTCAGAACACTTTCTCAGCAACAGTCACTCTGTTTCCCATATGTTACTTATCACAATTGAAACACTTAGATATGAACGCGATTGTCTTAGGCAAGCACGCGAGGTGCCCCTCATTCATAAAGCTAAAACCAGTGAGTCTCTGAGAATTAAAAAACGTGACTAACTATAGTCATTATGTAATCCTTACCATGTAACTTCCGTTTATTATTTTACAGTAGTATATGTTCTGGATATTCATGTTTTTTCCTAATAAACCTGATGAAGACTGGTATTGGTTAGTCGTATTAAATATTGTACACCTTAGCCTTTTTCACATTGTTTCATCAGTCTTTGCAGAAGTCTTTTTGACTTTAATTGTATCAAAGAAATATTCAGCGTCAATTCCCAGCACGCGAATGGCAAAAGAAAGTACAGTTGTAAAAAAAAAAAATTGATGAGCTGGGCCGAGTCAAAGGAGGCGGGAACAAAGGCGGGTCAGGGGCGTGGTAAATTAGTGTTCGTCGATTGGCTCACAAAATCGGGCCTAGGTCTACTGGTGTCGATCGCCTAGGTAAGTCACTATCTTTGTATAACCGAAGACACATACCGTAAAATTCCGAAAATAAGCCCCGGGGCTTATATTTTTCAAAGGGCCTTTTTGAGGGGCTTATTTTTGGAGGGGCTTATATTCGGAGGGGCTTATGTATGGAGGGAAATTTTCAAAATCGATTGGGCTACCTAGTAGTGGGAAGGAAATTTACCCTTTTTGCTTTTTTTTACTTTGTATTCGAGGGCAAATTCCAAGAACAAGCCCCCCGAGGGGCTTATATTCGGAGGGGCGATTTAACGGAGGGTTTTTTGAGTTACGATTTTGGTTACGATTTTTTTGCTTATATTTGGAGGGGCTCATACATGGAGGGGCTTATTTTCGGAATTTTACGGTATTTTTGCCAATATATATTAACGGGTTTTCAAAGGGCGCAGGACCACTTCTAAAGACAAAAGAAAAAAACTAGATGAGAATGTATTCATGACTTATTTGAAGATCGTAGGGAACAAAGAGAGACAACTTACATCTACCGAACCTTGGAATGATTCGATGTATGAAGATCAGTACAGTGTCCCGCGATCCAGGTAACAAGAAATAAAGCAATTACATATTCTTACACTATTTGAGACCGTGTATCTTTAGACACAGGATTTCTAGCTACTGCCGTTAAAAATTTTGTCATTTAATGCACGCAAGGCTATTCCACACAATACCAAAATGATCAACAACGTAGCGAAGGCAATTGTAACAATTTATAACGAAATGACTGCATGTGAAGTTTAGCTGAGTTTTAAGGCCGTTAGAGTTCATAAGTCGAGCTTAATGTTATTTATACCGGCCGGTTGGTGTATAAATGATACAGGACGAAATGGAACTTAAATCTCGCAGTTTCATAGTAGAAATTACCGTAGGTCAGGGGCTAGTTTCATTTGATATAACATCAATTCAGTTTGGGGTTCTTCAACTCCAACAAAAGCTTTTAAAAACATTTTCCCAAGACTTATAAGATAGAAGTTTTGTTCAAAAGTTAATCAGCAAGCTTTTCAAATTATTTGGCATCATATTTATTCATACTCAATTGAACGTTTTTTTTTTATCATTACAGAAATTATGAAGCATTCATGAGTTTGTAGGAGATGCATGCCCAAAAAGACATATGCCCCATTCAACTAAAATCCAACCCTCTCACCTATGAGAGGTGGAAGTGGGTTTAAGCAAAAAATTTAAAGCTTTATTTGATGATACACTAGTCTTAGGGAGCAGGTGGTTAAATTAACTATAACTTCAATTCTCAGAACAATAGTGTTTCCAGTTTTAAAGAGTACTTCAAGTATTAATTCATCTGGGGACATGGAAAGTTGCTGTTTGCCTACATGTAAGCCTGTCAGAGACCGAGTTGTTTTTCACCTGTTTGTTGAGAGATTATGACCTATAACTCTTTTTTCCTAATCGCTCAAGCAAAACAAAATAATAACAAGATGGAACACTCATCATTTTTTAGCTGCACCTTTTTCACAAATAAATTAAACGAAATTTATTGTATTCAACTGGTGCATAAAGCAACATTGACACATTATGTCCTTTTCTAAGCTCTAAGAACAAAAGCAAAAGAAGCTTTGGCAAGTATAACGTCTTTTCATTTCCCATTCATCAAATAAATTATTATCTCGTGTATTAACAGCATTAGTTACCCAGGATAATACATGATGTATGAGGGTTCCCAGTCCCCCACAGCATTTTTAAAGATCTCATAACAGACCTCACTGCGTATTAACTGTTCAAAAAGGCGGAGGTGTCATGAAGGCACCACCTTCACTTGTGTCGCTGGGCTAAAAACAAAAAGGCTACCTTGTGTTTACAATAATAGTAATAAAATTTATTTTAAAAGGACAACGGTTAACCCTGATACGTCTTTGGCCATGTATAATAAATTGCAGATTATTTCTGTAACAGGAAAGGAGAATAAAATTATTGTTACCAGGCTAAGTACAGTAAACCGTGGTCAATATAGGGGCATGTGGTGCATTTACTGCTGTTGCACCAAAAAGAACCGGGAGTGGCCCGGACATTGTTACAGTTATCAGTCTCTGGTAATTGGGCTCTAACAAAAATATCGCTTAAATTGTTAGGATGGTGGTAAGCTACTACTGGAAGATTTTCAAAAACATCTCTATATTGTTCTGAAGGGTAGAGAATGTGGGAATGTTTGTAAACAATGTACGCGACATTGGACAACGTAGGATTATCACCATCATTACTATCGTTATCATTACATTATTTATTGTAATAAAATCTCCGCTTTTAGGCTTGGCTAAAGATTTATATATTATAAGTTAATGTACCACCTGGTCATCAGCGGGACAGAAAAATGTCAGAAAACAGCATTTCTGTTTGCAAAACTTTGTTGCTTTCATTAACATTAACATAATATCACTTAACTGTTAACTATTCATTTATCAGTAAACTACTAAGTTTTTGGCCAATTATCAGTTAACTACTATTATTTTTTCAAGACAAATTACAGTCAATATTCAGGACGATCAATCGCGGGCTTTAAGCGAAACCGTTCAAAACTTTCCAAAATCACCCATACGGCCAGCTGGTTCTCGTTTCTATAGTGCGAGCTGTCAGTGTGGTCGAGAGTTTGAATGAACTTTAATAGAGTTACGCTTCAACATAATAGCGAATTTATTATTATTTTGTTTGTTATTTGATGGTTTCAGTTATAACGATGTGTAATCTTATAAAGCGTTTGATACGTACACGCGACATTTTTGAGTACTCCTGCAAGCGATGTTCATGAACGATGAAAACAAACGACACGGAAAAGCGATTAAAATTGCAAGAGAGACTACTAACAATCAAAAAAAGAAATATAATTCGGTAAAACATTTTCAGTGACAACAATTTTCATTCCCGAAGTTTTCGAAGGTGAACTCCTCGAAGCAAGAAAATCGCTCAAAATTTTCTTTCTACAGCCAAATTTATAACTAAATATTCTTCGGAACGTTTTCTTTCTATTTGTGCTGAGCAAATATATCTGAAGGCTTTTTAAAGTTTTGTAAGCTTATATCAAACCTGATACTAGGTCAGATCATTGACTCAAATCCTACAAACGTGCATAAACTTGCCGCATAATCTGTCAGCGTGAATTGTGCAAGACTTCATGAAATTAGATATAACAAAAACAAACATCAAATACAACAATTACTTAGGCTTACCATTCGAGATTCAGTTCCTGAAAGCTATCAAGGAAGGCCACAGTTGCTTGAGACTTTTAAACCCTCTTACGCATTAAGCAAGGTGAAAAACAAAAACGATACCATCCGAAACTGAATTACCGAATTTTGACAAGGGCCCCTTTTTTTCAACCAAAAGCCCAGTAAACAAACCAGCCATGAATAACTGAGAAGACTCTTGATAGCAGCTATATTTCATTTTGTACATCCAGGGGAAAAAGACTGTTAAAAAAAAAACACAAGTTGACGTAAAACTCTGTCATCTTCAGCTGTCAAAGTAAACAACTTTCAAGATGCTGCATAATTTTTCCGCATGAACTCACCTGTCAAATTTTGACCAATCAGAGTATAAAAATTGGACGTAGCGCGTGACCATGGTAAGAAAAGGTCTTCCCGCCTATACTTTAAAAAAAAACTGGCTGAATTTTCGCTTCCGAGGTCAGTTTGAAATCAAAATCCTAATAATGCGGGGCCATAGTGACGTAAACACAACATATTTGATATGAATCCTTGGAAAAAATAAACTTGAGCCTGCGATCATTTAAAACTGGTAATTTGTCAGCGGATAACTTCAAAAATACTCGACCTCGATGGGCGGACACTTGAGGCCGTGGTACGGTCAGGTGATACTGGTCAGCGGATGCCCTGTTTTGATAGCTGTCAATTGATTACAACATTGATGAATACATTGATGTGCAATTAGTTTTCTCTTGAGCTCCCAAACTAGCTAAAATGTGAGAGTAAACATTAGTTTTCCTGTGGTGCGGACGGACGGTCGGCGGTCGGTGTACGGTCACGTGATTACCAAATTTTCTGGGATGGGTAGATTTACTTAGCTATGGGGCTCCGCCCACGCGCGCGCTTCGCGCGTGCGTGGATCTCCGCTAAAAACATAGCAAAAACAGCAAGAAGACAACTCGGAGGGCGACATCTGCTATTTGGAGAATTTGCGAAGCTGGACAAACCTAAACGTAAACTATCGAAGATAAACTTAACATCCATGGAGGTAAGCTTGTTTTAGCTATGTTTTTAAAACTAGAAATTATTTTGAATGAATAATAAAATAATTACTGAATCATATGAAGAATTATGGAGATAACACCCTCCTCGATCTCCATAATTTTTCATAAGATACTCAGCCTCATTCATTAATTGTTAATTTTTTTTGGCCAAATATTAGTTAACTGTTAACCCCATTCGTACCCTCTTTAAAGCAAAAGCAAGTGAAACCGAATTTAGATTCAGTAGCTTAATAATTCTCTCTCTCTCTCTCTCTTTTTTTATTTATTTATTTATTTATTTGTTTTTTTATTATACATTCCTGAACTCAAGGCCCAGTATGTATTTAATAATTCAGAGATGACCTTTGACATTATTTTGAATTGAGTATCAGAGGCAAATATAATTCACCATTCTATGTTTGTTTTATTTCTTTATTTTTATCACTCTTCCTACAGTAAGGATCAGTTTATTGTTCTAATTTCCAAATTTGGTATTGAAGATTTCACTGAATACATATCAAGGTCTACTAAAGATACAGCTGACCCTTAATTGTTTGTCGTTGTGGATTTGCCTTCGCAAGGGTTTCTTATGAGAGGTGAGCCATTTTTAGCAAATTACGGAGTGCTGGCAATGAACGAGGGGAAAAGAATTGGGAGAGTGCGTTTTTTTTTTTGCTTTCAGTAACATTATCTTTATCTTTGTATTTGTATAAGACATGCATGTATAGACTGTTCATAATACTTAAGTTTTTGTTGACTTTGTTAGAAAGAACATTTTTAATCTTAGAAAATCGTTAAAAAATGAAGAGGAAGGGAATAGAAGGAACGAAAACGAGGCGTACTTTTTATCGAACATTCTTTATTCTAGTATTTGAGAGAAGCGAGTAAAAATCGCTTCACAATAATTATGTTAAGATTAACCCTATTTCAACCGGGTGGGGCTTTTAAGGCTCCCATTACTAAAAAGTTGAATAATCGTTCAAGCTATGACTGTTAGGGAATACATTTGATTAATTCAAAATTTCGGAACCAAGATGGCGGATCCTCCACTTTCTTATTTGTAATCAATGGCGTCATCATCAGAACACTGCTAAATTCTCAATATAAATTCATTAAGTGAGGTCCAATTACGTAAGCCATTCTGTCATTCGAATTGTGTCTAAAAGTTATCCGGAGACGTGTATTTTTTTTTGGCCGTACCTGATCGAGCGGTTTTGAATTGATAGAAGGGGAATGACGGAGGGTGTGCAAGGAGGCGCTATTCAATTTAAAGTTGTCCCCTACCCCACCCCCTTTTCATTCTGA